TAATCCAAGCTAGCCTAGTCTAGCTGATTTCCACTGTAGTGCTAAGTTTCATTTTTTCGATGTAAACTCTAACCCTCAAGCTTGCTCTTGTCCCGATAATTTTATTTTAGAGTTGCGTAGCATGACATGAGAATAAAATTAAAATAAGCCTTAGTTGCTAAGTTTCATTTTTTCGATGTATCTTGCTCTTGTCCCTGTAATTCTATTTTAGAGTTGCTTAGGAATAAAATAAAATAAAAGCCTTCGTTATACTGGATAACTGAGGCTTATTTTTATGTATTTAGCCTTTAAGCACTTTGGTGGGATAAGATTAGTTTTTTTTTTTTGTTTTTTTTTTTTTTTTTTTTTTATTTTTTTTTTTTTAAATTGGGGGGCTTTTTTTTGTTTGTGTGCAAATCTAGGATTCTATGGACAAAGGGTCACATTGTAAAAATTCCAAAACAATTTATACGAAGAAAATAATACTAAAATATAGAATGATAGTACTTCCATTCATAATTCATAACGAAATCAATACTATAAGTTACAATTGTCCACGCCGTGTTTTTACCTTTTGAAAACATTGCATTATAGTTTCGTTATTAATACAAGCAAAAACATTCCTCCCAATGTAAACAATATCTCATCTACTTCAATTAGTCTTGCACTTGAACTACCCGGATTAGACGGAGAAGGACTATCCGTGGATAATTTTCTTTTAAAGAATCATTCCACAAATCTACACATTAATTAATTCAATTAATCATTAAGTTTTATCCAATTATCATATGAATATGAAAAATATCAATAACCCACTACCAATATTTAATATACCAAATTATCATATCAATTAATATTCAATATTCTTCAATATACCAAATTATCATATCAATCAATATTCCATGTAATACTAAATCAATCCACATTATCAATCAATCCACAATATCATTTCCATAAATTTCATAAAAAAAAAAAAAAAAAAAAAAAAAAAAAATCAATAAAACAATATATATTAATATTATCATTATAAATTTATAAATATCAATGTTTCTTACTTGTAGTTGAAAAAAAATGGAGGTGAACGGCGGCACAAGGTGGTGGTGGTTAGCAGTGACGGCGAAGAGGTGTGGTGGATGTTGGAGGTTGGGAGGTTGGGAGGTTTGGAGCTCTTAGGGATTGTAAGGGGAACATATGAAATTGGGAATGAAAAAGGGTTTAGAGCTGCTGTGCTTAAATCGGGTAAGGGCTAGGTTTTTCTTTTTTCTTTTTTAAACCTGGCCCAAAACGACGTCGTTTTCAGGTCAGGTCAATTAAAAAATAATTGACTGAGCCTTGCTGTTTGGCCAGGCTCGTTTTAAAAATAAAAAAAGATGATAGACATACAGGTTGGGACTTTCGTCGAGTGCACACAAGGGGTCGCTTTGTAGTTGTCCAAGGAATTGTTCAACCCCTCTTGTCCCAGCGTGTGTCCAACTCTGCTTTTGAGCGTAATCTTGTACTTGTAATTATACTCTAAAGAATTTAAATTTTTTCTTGTTCAATGAATTTATAGGTTAACAAAATAAATGCACGAATGGTAGTAGTGTTCAATACTTCAATTAGACCCAATTAGACTTTGCTTCTTGTCACCAAGAATATGGTGATGTGTGTGAGTAAAGGTTGTTCCTTTTTTGTTTATTTATCAAAAGAAAAGGTTGTTCTTTTTGTCCATACCCGATTCGTTAGGGTAGAAGCCCATGAAGACCCTAATCCTTGGGAAAATTTGTCATCCCAAAACGTTTGAAGGACGTTTCTCTCAGCAAAGGGGACCTTTCTATTGTACAGCTGTGTGTTTGGATTGCTAGTTGTAATCAAAGCCCTTTAAACATTTGGTGAGACTGGTCTAAAGTTAAAAAAAGTTAAGTATATGCTTTTGAGCATAGTTAGTAAAATATAGAACAGAAAAAGTATAAATAAGATACGTACGTAAAAATACAAATGAAAAGTTTAGTTTAATATAATTGATTTAAAATTTGCAATATATATTATTTTTATTTAATAATATGTGAAAATATATATAATATGTGAATTTTGCCTGTATTAATTATTAAATTTTATAAAACAATACATATATTAAACGTGAAAAATACATATATTCATGTATAATATGTATCTTGCATAGAAAAATACATGTATAAAAATATTTACATATATATAATACGAATATTATACTTGAAAATGCTGACTAGGCTTTTCAGTATAATCTGGTCATCGTTGCCATTAGTTTACCCTGGACACTACAAAGATATATGGGCTAATAATTAATGCACGAAGTAGGCCTGGGCACGAATCGGTTCGAAAAGGTAGAAGGCTCTTCTGTTAACCAAATCAAAGACTTCGGTAGACCATTTTTTCTTCCGTTAACCAAACCAAAGACTTCAGTAGAATTCGAATCGGTTAACCTAATATTTGGTTCCTTACGCCGGTAGTACCGTAATAAAAACATACTAATAAAATCAATTTATAATACTTTCACATAACATAAGTTCTTGAATAAATACACCAAATCATCCTTGTCAAATATAAAAATCCAATAGTCTAATTCATCCAAGTACAAAATCAAATAACTTAGTCACTATATGATTCAATATATACTCAAGATGTACTGGGAGCCACTTGTGTTTGTTGTTTGAACATTGGAGTGTTATTTTTTATTGAATTCTCTACATTTATGTGATTTTGAATTTGTTTTGCGTAGGGTTCTTTATTTTTCATGCTGAATCCAACCATATAAAGAACATAAAATTTGGATCAACGGTTGGAAAGTTTAGGGTGATAAATAAGTGATAAAATGGTGATAATGCAGTGATACAATGATGATAAAGAAGTGATACAACAATGATAAAGGAGTGATAGAAAATGCTAATTGTATTTATCTTTGGTTTCTTGTTTTGTATTTAAATAATGGAATAAGTATAAATATCGGATCGGTACGGGTTTTCATTGGGTTAAGAATATTGTTTTCGTTAACCAAACCAAATATCTCGGTACAAATCGGATCGGAGTAATTAAAATTAAAAAATAATTATTTAACTAAATCAAACCAAACCATCGGTACGATACGGTCGATATGCGGATAATTTGGATTAGATGCCCACCCCTAATACGAAGTGCGTACCAAGCGCCGGCACGCAGACACCCCAATCCGAACCAAACAACAAGAGCGCCATGTTTAACTTTATGTTTTGACTGTTCCCATGCACAGTGAGTTCATTTCCCGCGAGTCACAACACAAAAATTTAGCTCATCCATCTTCCCAAAATTATAAATTTAGCCCATCCCCACATCTAAAGTAAAGCCCACTATATTTTCTTCTCTAATTTGTTTATCATTGTTTATTACTTTTATGATTCTTCCATAATTTATTTCTCATTGTTTCAATGGTTGATATTACAATTTACAATTAATGAACAGAAGTACATTTTTAAAATTAGGTTTTCGGAAGAAGCACTAAATTTGAATCTTCCCCTTTTACTCATCAGAAGGAAAAAAAATATCCCTAAAATGTTAGAAATTATAAGCCTTTATATTTTCTCTCAAAATAGCAGCAAGTTAAATTTAGAGGGGCAGACGTGCATGATATAAGTATTGACATAAGTATTTTAACAACCCTCTATAGGTATGGCTACATAAAACAAGGTAACGAGATTCTCTTTATTCTTCTACTAGAGGGGCACACGTGCATGATATATATATATATATATATATATATATATATATATGTAGTCTCTCAAGGAACATTCTGGCTTTGAAGTCATCTCCTATTCTTAGCTAGGTAGCCCAAATCTCTATGCGTATGTACATCACATCATCGGGATCATTGTATTTTGCTTTAGCAAATCCAGTTGTTTCACCAAAAAAAAATTCCAGTTGTTTCCAGGTTGATTTCAATTCAAAATTAAAGGTAAGAGTAAAAAAAAATTCTTGGAAATAGTTTTAGTTTTTATTTTATTTATTTTATATAATATAAAACACCAAACTCAGTTATAAAACTAAACTAAAATTTAAATAAATTAAATTAAAAATAATAATAATTTGAACACTCTGAATGAGATGAGATTAGCAGGGGATTTGAGAAGTGAACCACTCCATCACATGAATTGGGGCTTTGACCAATTCCAGAGACAACTCCACGACAACCGTCACGCACAAACAGCACGGGCATATGCAAGTCAGCAACAATCCGACGATCCAGATAACGATGCCGACGATGGAGAGGATGAGGGAGAGGAAACCAAAAGGAAGGCCGAGCAGAAAGCCCAGAGGCCTGCAATCACCTTCTGAAGAGCACATTTTCTCTCACTTTCTTTCTTCTTCTTTTTTTCTGGGATTTTGGTTCTTCAGCAGCAACTGCTTGAGAGAGAAGAGAATGGAGAGAGACTTGTTTAGTAATGGGAGACGGCACACGCTGTGTGTTGTATTGTTGGAAGTTTCTTGTGCTTTTCCGGAAATAGTTATAGTTACTTGGACTAGGGATACCAGTCCATGACTTTGACTCTATTAAGACAATTTCATTGTCTGGGATAAATATTATTCATCACTTGAGATTCAGAGAAAAATATTCTTGATCATTTGAGATTAAGAAATAAATATTTTTGATCACCTAAGCTACAAGCTACTGTATGTAAACTTTTTAAATGAAGTAGAACGATGTAATTAAAATACAACATTACTGTTTGTCAAATTGTCATCACCAGAAGTAGAAAAGATACAATCCCTACAGGAGCAATATGCAAAAACTTTCCATATATGCACCCATCAGGGAACAAAGCATACACAACAAGGATACAAAAACAACAAAACCAATACAAACAAAGGCCAAGATAGGGTAGAGCAGTACCCATATCTATTTATCTAACATAGTTAGGCACTCTCTAACGAGCAAACTGGACAAAGCCAGAGTAAATTGCAAGAATAACTAACCATAATTCATTGAAAATAGGTTAGCTGTAATATTCTTGAAGATCTGGGTACGTGGCTGGCTAGGGAAAAAGCGGTTTGAGCAGTGCAATTTTGTACTGTGTCTGATAAAATGCATTATCCTCCTGCCAGAAATACATGACATCGCCAGCAGCAATGCCTCTCTCCTTGACAAAGACTCTCCATTGTTTTGCCTGGAAAACTGGTTTTTTGTTCCTGCCCTGTCTACCAGATAAATAGAACACATAGACCTTACCCGTTTCGTCTAAGACTCTGATTGGGACATCATGCTCTGGATCTATTTGGGGCAGGAATTCAAGCATGCCCTTCGTCACTGCTAATCTTTGATTGACATCAGACGGTGTCAACTCTTTTTCAAATCGATTCATCTCTCTGGGGCCTCTACAAAGTTTGAGCACCAAATTAAAGCTGTCGAGCTCCGAACGGGCGTAGCTAGCTGCTTATGTTGAGATGAGTTGATAATATTGGTGAGATGCATATATAGAGAGACATCACTCTTCGTTTTGTGAGAGCTGAGTTAGGGGCGGAGCTAGAATTGTAAAATTAAGGGGTCGAAGTAGAAAATACATAAGTATTCAATAAGTACATGTTTAGAGCTAAATATTTCTAATTTAGTCATGTCTAATTTGTTTTAGAGGGAACTTTAAATTATAAGTGATTTATTACAAATTTTATATGTTATATATAATATAATATAGGAGAGAAAAAAAAATTTGGAAGAGGGGGGTGGGGGGCTGGAAAAGGGCAACTCCAGGTCTAAGAGTGGCTCTGCCACTGGCTTAGTCATTTTCTCTAAGTAAAAATTCATTACACAAGATCACATATGTACAACAATAGTCTAAAATATCGATAATATCGACGAAATATCGAGGATATTATCGTTTTTTCGAGTCACAAATATTTTGGAACATATCCATACACATATCGTATAAATATCAATAATATCGACGACATTATCGGAAAATATCGATGTCGATAATTTCGCTATAATATCGACATCAATAATATCGATGTCAACAATATTTTGTCAAAATATCACTATAATATCGAAAATATCGATGTAATGAAAAAAGGAAAAAAAAACATAAAGCACACATGCAAAGGTATTTGAACCCTTGTCATTTCACACCTCCAATGCCTTAACCGTGATGTTGCTTATGTTTTTGTGATAATATGGAAAATGGAACTTTATGTAGTACTAAGTCACTCATGTATTCATACAATGTATAAAGTGTAAAATATTGTAGTAAATCGTTATATATAAATGATTATGGTGTGTTTAATCTTCTTTCATCTTACTACATATTTTCTACATTCACAATATTTGTCAACTTGCTATATAATTAACTTAAATCAGTTAAACCCATCATGCAATCCATTTCCTTCCAATTTTTTGTGATAAACTAATAAATAATTGACTAAATAAACATCCTCCAAAGTTTCAATACAAATTTTCAAGTTTTTCTTACAATTTTCGTAGTCTTTATTCACTTTTTATCAATATTGATAATGTAACGATATTTCCATCAAAATTTCCGTGTTTTTGGACTACCGATATTTCTAATACCATCGATATTTTAGACCATGTGTACAATAGATAGTCCAAATGATTTTGCATAGGTGGGGCCCAACAGCCCCAATTAGGAAGCATAAGTCCGCAATGGTAAATCAAATATGTGATGTAAGCAAAACGAACTTACATTTATATTTATTCAAAAACAACTAGAGATCGATTAGGTAATGTAGCTATTTATATTATAGAAGGCCTAATTAGGGTTAAGAGCTCTTAAAAGTATTTTGCAACTTGTGGCAGGACCCTAATTAATTCTGAGAGGTGATGAAGAGAACTTCAATCTAAACATGGTCCAAAAGAGGTGATGAGGAACTTCAATATGAAAACAAAAGTACATTACAAATTAGATAGGGATCTTAACCGCATCCATAGGAAAGTTACTGAATCATGTACAAGAGTTATTATAATTATGCCCTATTTTTGCTCAATAATCAGCTAGCACATTAGCCTCTCCGTAAATATAAGCAATTGTTACTTGAGAGAAAACTTGTCCAACAAGTGCCAAATACTATATTAGTGAACTTTATTGTGATAGCAGAATTGTCTCTGTCATTATTGACATGCTTTAGTCATCCAACTTGAACTTCTCTTGCACTGGCGAAAAGAAAAAACGACCTCTTGCTTTTGATTGTTATTGTTATCGTTATGCTCAAATATTCAATATTTCCAGTGGCACGGTGATTAAAATATCGCCCGTTTAAAAAAACGATATTATCGGCGAAATATCGCCGATAATTTCGATATTTAAGACTGTGCCTAAGAACACCCACAGAGATCTCTATATCTGAGGAGAGAGAAAGGAGAGAAACGACTCCTAAAATTTAACTAAGGACTTAAGAGCATGATTGTTGCCCAAACAAACAACCCCCCAAGCGGTTATGACCAAAAAACAAAAAACCCCCCACGCGTCGCTTCTTTCTGTCTCCCCTATGTCTCTTTTCTTAAAAAAAATTTCTGCAGTGTACTTGAACTTGAATTGGGATCCCTTTGTCTCCCCTTGTCGTATCTAAAACGCGTCCCGTCCCCTCCGCTTCTCTCTCTCTTTGCCATGTCCATAGTCCATCCAATAAAAAATAAAAAGGTATATTTTGCACTTCAAACTGGATATGATAAGTGATAATTACGAAGCATACATACATACATACTTTGGCTAATTAAGTTTCTGAAAATGGAGAAGAGATGGAGGAGCCTTCCAAGCATGGCGGTGGTCACCACAAGTCTGTCAAAATCGCTGGCGTTCAGCACTTTCTCAAAACGGCTCCATCTCTTCAGGGGCTTATTTCAGTAAATAAAAAGAGTGATTAATCGAAACCCTAATTCTCCAACACCAACGCACCCACTTCCCCTATTTCTCTCTTCCTCTTCTTCCAGCGCCGCACAACCCTTTCATCTCATTTTTTTCTTTCATTCTCATTCTTTCTTAGTTCTTCTCTTTGTTCCTTCATTTTTGCTCTTGTCTAGCTCTGAAATTGTTCTCTCTTCTTTTCTTCCTTCTTCGTCGTCTTTTCTTTCCCATTTCTTCTTGTTCTTTCTCCCTTGCAATATTCACTCGGTGTATCCGAGAAAGCAGAGCACAAGAAAGGTTTGCAATAGAGAAAAGAAAAACTCAGTTTGTAATCTTTAATCCATGTTTTTTTTATTCTTTTCCAAGTTTTCATTTTTGTAGGTACATTCCACAGGTTTTGAAGAATTTGAAGTGGAATGGTGAATAATTTCTTGGATCATTTTAATCATTTGATTGATTTTTCCTCAAGGTTTGTTCATACAAATTATGCGACTCTTCTTTTTTTGTTTAAAATTTTCGTTAATGTTAATCTATTAATTGTCGATATACTGTTAATTAACAGTTGCTGATCCAGAAAAGAGGAATCGTTGAAATGCTTCGTGTGCTGCAGTAAAATAAGAAGAAACGCTTCGAGATTTCTTCTGTAAAGCTGTGTTCGAGTTGAATGGATGTGGGTTTGAAATTCGAACTTTGTATAGAAGAGAAAAGAGGGAAAGAAGAATAATTTGATCAAGGGAGGTTTTGAATTTGGCTTAAATGTCAAAATAGTCCCTGTATTTTAACCATTTGGCCAATTTAGTCCCCGTGTTTTTAATTTGGCTAATTTAGTCCTTGTGTTTTACTCTGTAAGCTAATGTTGTCCATTCCGTTAAATTATTGTTAAAAAAAATTCATTAAAGTTTTAAAAGTTAATAAAAAAAGTGTAATTGTTTTAAATAAATAAAGAAATTACAAGTTCACTTTAATGATAAACAAAATAAAGGCTTGCAAGCCTCAAATTCTCCGATTGATCACCACCGATTCAAACCCTCTAATAAAAAACTTATCCGATTTGCATCAACGCCGCCAGTCTCTTCTACATGCCCATAATACATCCATGAGGTGGATGAAAACATTAGCAAGAGCAAAAGGGTCTTGACAGCCATGAAAAGAAGGATGAACATAAACAAATGGATTGCTGGCTCTTGCAATCATGATTATCCTTTATCTTACCCGCTAGCCTACTGTTGCACTGCGTTGTGCTTATTTTTGTTTCTCTTTAAAAAAAAAAGATTAACAAAATAAGAAAATTTTAAATAAAAAAAAAAATTTGGAAACCCAATCTCTAAACCCTCTCCTTCTCTCCAGCAGCCGACACCAAACCACCATGAGCCGTCCCACCCCAGCCACTCCCCCTGGAATGTGGTGGCTGGTCTTTTATTTTTAAATTGAAATTTATGTTTTATTAAATAATCAGATATTTTAAATTAGTTTAAATAACATTTATGAATGTTTTAAACAACAGTTTAACGGAATGGACGATATTGACTAACGGAATAAAACACAAGGAGTAAATCGACCAAATTGAAAACACGGGGACTAAATTAGCCAAATAGGTAAAACACAGAGACCATTTTAACATTTAAGCCTTTGAATTTTGTGTTTTGTGTGTTTTTTTAATAATTAATAATTGAAAGTATTAGGGGCGGATGTTTGCGCCTGTAATAAAGATCTTTAATGTAATCTGCCAATGTGGCAACACAAATAGTAAGGGCGGATCTTTGAGATTTTCTACCCCTAAGAGCAACTCCAGCGAGGAGCCCAACCTCTGTGGGGGGAAAGAAAAAAAAAAAAAAAAAAAAACAGTTCCAGCGATGAGCCCAAGCCCGAGTTGGGAGTGGGACCCACGAAAACGGGCTGGCTCGAAGGCAGCTCTAGCCCGAGGGGGGGGGATGACGTTAGCGTGCGATGACGTCAGCCCTGTGCTCCACCAACAGCTAGAAGACATGTGTCGTCATCTGGGCGCTCCGATCGCCTGCTCTCCTCCAATCCAACGACTGGGCTTTTTTTTGCTATAAAATTATGAAAAAAATACCAAAAAATTTTAGAATTTTTTTCTATAAATCCCTACAAATACTCTTCACTTTCAACACTAAATGCTCATACATTTTCTTCTACTTCTACTATTATTTGGGCTTTTTTTTTGCTATAAAATTATGAAAAAAATTCAAAATTTTTTTTTTAAAAAATCTATAAATACCTACCAATACTCTAAACTTTCAACACTAAATCCTCATACGTTTTCTTCTACTTCTACTATTATTCACTTTTTACTCGACATTTTATTCACTTTTAAATTGTATTTTTATTTATCATCTTATCCGAAAATTTTATTCGATTGAGATATGAGTTTTATAATAAATATTGACACGTATGAACCCAAAAATCTTATTCGAAAATATTATCCAAATTAATTGTTTAGATAAACAAATTTGTGAAATAAACAAAAAATGAATAGTATTTGCCCTTTG